GCTTTTTTATTGAATTTTTAAGAAAATTTACAACAAATAATGAAATTTATATATATTTGCTACTGTGGGAAATATACTCCGAAAATAGATTTTGTTTCAATTTTTAACAGTGAACCAAAAGTTATAAATTTAGAATTTTTGCGTCACTGTTAAAAATTTTCCAAAAAAATGCAATATTTTTTTTTTTTTTTTGTTTTATCGAATCTAAACAAAAACATGGAAATTTTCACAATTTTTGTTTAATATTTACTTATTCTTCTTATTAACAAACAAAATAAAGAAACATTAACGGCGCAATTGTGGTTAAATAAAGAGTCTAATAAGTTATTTATTACGTATTTTTGTATTTCGAGATGCAATTCTTTTTATAGCTTCAAAAGAGTTCTTCTTTCACTAAATTAAAAAAACACCAAAACAATCACATTAAACAACTATAATTTATGGTTTTATTAATTAAATAATAACATAAATAAAATATTTTTGTTTTAAAAACTAGTTTCAAGCTGATATACTACTAAAGATATATTTGTTTACTAAATTCTAATAAATAACAAGAACTTTATTGAGATTTGACTAAAACTCTTTTTCAAAATTGCTTTATCATTATTTGCCATTCTATTAGTTTCATCTGTTTAAACATTTGATGAAAATGTTTGCATTGCTACATGTATTTATTTGTTCACTAATAAAAATAATACAAATGTCTTAAATTCATATTTGAATATTATCTAAAACCGGTGGATTATTATTAGTTCACTGAACTGCGGACGTGCCTAAGTATGCATATTAATTTTTTTAATGGAAATAAAATAAATGCATAATGATATAAACGAAACAATTTGTATTTTTAAATTTGAATACAGACAAATTGAACTTTTGGTTTGAGAACGAAGGGCAGAAAAAATTGCATTTGCAAATATGTATACAAATAGATAGATAGATAGATAGATAGATAGATAGATAGATAGATAGTAGATAAGATAGAAGATAGATAGATAGATAGATAGATAGATAGATAGATAGATAGATAGATAGATAGATAGATAGATAGATAGATAGATAGATAGATAGATAGATAGATAGATAGATAGATAGATAGATAGATAGATAGATAGATGATAGATAGATAGATAGATAGATAGATAGATAGATAGATAGATAGATAGATAGATAGTAGATATAGATAGATAGATAGATAGATAGATAGATAGTAGATAGATAGATAGATAGATCTAGATAGATAGATAGATAGATAGATAGATAGATAGATATATATAGATAGATAGATGATAGATAGATAGATAGAGAGATAGATAGATAGATAGATAGATAGATAGATATATGATAGATAGATAAGATAGATAGATAGATAGATAGATAGAGATAGATAGATAGATAGATAGATAGATAGATAGATAGATAGATAGATAGATAGATAGATAGATAGATAGATAGATAGATAGATAGATAGATAGATAGATAGTAGATAGATAGATAGATAGATATAGATAGATATATATATATAGATATAGATATAGATAGATAGATAGATAGATAGATAGATAGATAGATAGATAGATAGATAGATAGATAGATAGATAGATAGATAGATAGATAGATAGATAGATAGATAGATAGATAGATAGATAGATAGATAGATAGATATAATAGATAGATAGATAGATAGATAGGTAGATAGATAGATAGATAGATAGATAGATAGATAGATAGATAGATAGATAGATAGATAGATAGATAGATAGATAGATAGATAGTGATATAGATAGATAGATAGATAGATAGATAGATAGATAGATAGATAGATAGATAGATAGATAGATAGAGATAGATAGATAGATAGATAGATAGATAGATAGATGATAGATAGATAGATAGATAGATAGATAGATAGATAGATAGATAGATAGATAGATAGATAGATAGATAGATAGATAGATAGATAGATAGATAGATATAGAAGATAGATAGATAGATAGATAGATAGTAGATAGATAGATAGATAGATAGATAGATAGATAGATAGATATATAGATAGATAGATAGATATATAGATATATAGATAGATATAGATAGATAGATAGATAGATAGATAGATAGATAGATAGATAGATAGATAATAGATAGATAGATAGATAGATAGATAGATAGATAGATAGATAGATAGATAGATAGATAGATAGAAGATAGATAGATAGATAGATAGATAGATAGATAGATAGATAGATAGATAGATAGATAGATAGATAGATAGATAGATAGATAGATAGATAGATAGATAGATAGATAGATAGATAGATAGATAGATAGATAGATAGCTAGATAGATAAGATAGATAGATAGATAGATAGATAGATAGATAGATAGATAGATAGATAGATAGATAGATAGATAGCTAGATATAGATAGATAGATAGATAGATAGATAGATAGATAGATAGATAGATAGATAGATAGATAGATAGATAGATAGATAGATAGA